CAAATATTTTTATTTCTTGCTTTTGAAGTTGATATGTCCTGCTGTGTTGTAGCCTACAGATTGCATAATTCTTCTCGTGATTCATGGTATGTGCACTTTTTACTGACGTTACGACAGTACAACTTGCAACGTTAAGCGGCCCTTATGTGACGTCATTTTAGTGTCTACTGAATGTCAGATAGACAATACACTACAGTATATTGATGCGGATGGTTAAAACAGGTAACCTTCTCAAGTGGCCTTCAGCCCTCTTTTGGAGAAATCAAACAAAATATTTTGTACACACTCCAGCAACATTTGGGTATTACGCGATATTGTGACCGCTTATGCTGTCACAATTCCTTCACACTCTCTTTCCCCTCCACAGTGGCTCAGCTATAAACTTGAAGTCATATATACGCTAAAACAGCGGGTTTGATACCTGTGGTGGGTATAGCGCAGATAGACCTTTTGTAACTATGCATTTAAACACGAAGAAACAAAAGAAATCTTCATTTGTAGTTTTTGATGCAAATCTGTTTACATTTAGTTATATTGCAGAAACATTGTGTTTACAAAAACTTCGCTAACACTGGTCTTTAATTTCTAATTTTCATATAGACTTTTAACATTTAGAGTGTAGAAAATGTTTCTGACATCAGCTTTTTCCAACACCAACACAAGGTAAAACTAACTCCCTCACATCTTCCTTATTTCATTCTTACATTGTCATTTCACAACCCCAAATGAATACATTCGAATGCCGCCATCATATACCACTGAAACTTTTACGAAGTCGGCTTTAAATGACATCCGGCGGTCAACAGCTCATGATATCATTTAACTGAAGGCTTACAGTTGAATTTTAATAATTTTTGTCATTAACACTTACCGTTCAAATAATTTGTATTTTTATAAATTGAAATAAATGTTTTTCAATGGTCTGTATGAACCCGTACTAGCTTGTTTCGAATACTTGGCATTTATCTCGTTGTAGCTTTGCGCGAAATTCAAACTAAACCAAACATCTTCTGCACAGGATAATAGACGGTAGTCTCTAATTTATACACAAGAGTGTATATCTATTTAACTCCATCTGTAGAATTCGGAAGTTTTTATATAATGATCTAAGTAAACAGGTAAAGTAACAATGTTTTCTACAATGAAGAACTGTGTAATGTATCCTTCAGATCGAGATTTAGTTTACTGTTACGATACTCAGAACACTTTAATTTGATTTTTGTTTCAGCTAATAAACAAGCATGAATGCCAAGACTTAAATTTTGTTGTGAATGATATGATGGAGATTATGAAAGACAAAAATGGTAGAATATTGGACGTTGGGGCTGGGACAGGAGCCAATGGAAAACTGGTATTTATACCGATTATTCTGGTTGTATTAAAGTCGTTTTTAATTCTTATATAAATAGAAATAAAATTAATTATATTAAGTATTCAGTTTTATTATCGTTACATGTTACGTAAATGAAGTTAAAATTAATATACAAATGTGGTCAAACACAACATATACCTAGTCTAACTTTAGGTTATGGGTTTTATAACCAAAGAGTAAAATTGGACAATTCAAAATCCTTTTCTAGATGAGCCTTAGTATCTTGGTACTGTAAGTTTTAATATTTTTTGACTTTTTTTTTTCGGTTTAATGAAATACGGGTAAAAACATAAATTTTATTACTTTACGAAATTATATGTATATATTAATTGATAGTTTAACGAATTTGTTATTATATATTTATTTTAACATCAACATTTGTTTAGATTAAAATTATATTTAGAAACATACATGGCTTATACTGTTAAACATGTATTGCGAAACTCCCGCCTATTCTTCAAAGTTGTAGAAGATTCTCGAGAGTAAGAATAAACAATATATGTGTGTACGTAAACGCTTTAATTTGTATTGTTACGTAATCTGAATTTTTTAGAAAACCTTCCCACGCCTATAAATATAACCAACGCGCCGCGCCAAAAGAGGAGTATCTATTATTAGTTTGCTATAGGCAGTGTGCTATAAACTTTGGAAGCTATAACTGTGACTTTTATAACGCTTATTAATCGGAAAATATAATATATTTGACCAGGAGCATTTACAAAATTCGAACACTACAAATTATTTAACTTCAGTGAATTCTCATCGGACATTAGTATTTTTACGAAAACATTATATAAATTCAATGTGGAAGACTCAGCGCGCGTGACTGGTGAATAACCAAGGATAAAGACTCAGCGTGTGCGGCTAATGAATAACGAAGGGCAAAGCTAGCTAACTTCCCGTGAAGCGAATTGTACCCACGTCAACTCGTAATTAACTCGCTTAACGTGAACCTACGATAAGATATCGAATAAATTCCAGACTAGAAAGAAGATTTTATATTGCTTGTAAGTTTGTGAAACTTTTGTTTATAAATCATTGTTTGTAATAACTATTTGTAAAAGCTGTTATTGTACATTGTATTGTTGTATGTACATTAAAACGTATTTGTGTTAAGAAAGAAAAGTGTGTGTGTCAATCTAGTTGGCAAATATCATAAACTGACTATATATCGGCTTTTACTTAACTACTAAATATAGGCCTGGCATGGCCAGGTGGATAAGACGCTCGACTAGCAATCTGAGGGTCGCGGGTTCGAATTCCCGTCCCACCAAACATGCTCGCCCTTTCAGCCGTGGGGGCGTTATAATGTGACGGTAAAAAAGTAGCTCAAGAGTTGGCGGTGGGTGGTAATGACTAGTTGCTTTCCCTCTAGTCTTACACTGCTAAATTAGGGACGGCTAGCGCAGATAACCCTCGTGTAGCTTTGCGCGAAATTCAAAAACAAATAAATACTAAATATAAAGTATAATTTATCCACTAAATTTAGATTTATCAATTAACTCAACTTCAGGCCATTTGAAATTATAATACGTAGCAATAGATATTTTAGCAATCTTTATACGCTGAATGGGTAGTTCGATATAGACTGGTGGGCTTATCTAAAGTCACATGCAAATTATAGATAGATAACGGTTTCAAAATGGAACTACAACATAACGGGCTAAAACTTAGTGAAAAGAAAGTCGGGGCCTAAAATAAGTCAGATGAAGTTACTACCTTTTTTTTAAACATCTTTATACGTGCTTTAAATTAAAATCAATCTTCACTATATTTCTATTATATTGTTCAATTATTTTTTAAGAATGTAAAGGTTTATTTAAATTTCCAACTCACGTTACTTTCAGCTAAAACAACATGGGTACAACAACATTGATGCCTTGGATGGAAGTAAAGAAATGCTGAAAATAGCCAAAACGAAAAACTTGTACGATAATTTAATTCATCTTATTTTGAAGGGTGGTGTTCGCATCCCTAATGTTGAAAATGGTATGTTCCTAGAGTTTAATTGCCTAAATTTAACAATATAAGAACTCAGATCGATTGTATGCTTAGGAATTGTATCATCCACAGGAAGTGTTAATAGTGGTTGCTGTACTGGAAATATAATATTTATTTCATTAGTACCTTTGTATTTTAATCATTTAATACCATTGAAAGGTTTTCATTAAGAAAAATACGAATAACGTTTAACATATTTATATCGTGTTTGAAGGTAATTTTGTTTTATCAATTAGTGTCATTTGCGTTATTTTTAGGTGGCACAGAAAGAACAAAAGCTAAACAGTCATTATAATACACATTCACATAGTACCGTATACAAATCTACTAATGTGTTTTATCTTTTATATTTTTAAAATACTACTTTTGTATTAACTGTTAATAAGACGTACCATATATTAAGCCTGAAATTGACAATGAATATAAGTTTAACGTGTTGTAGAGTTCTTGAACTTTTCAGTTAAACACAGATTAAGCCATTCTAAGCATCTGCAACATCAGTTTAATTATGTGTATTTTGTTAGTATTAGTAGAATAGCATTATTATGTCTAGTCTATATAAGTGTAATAAGAGTTTCTACATATTACAGACACCTACAGTGCTGTTGTCATGAGTGGAGTATTTTGTCCAAACCATTGTGACTCTACGATTTTTCCCGAGTTGATTCGTGTTGTGAAACCAGGTAGGCCTAAATCGGAGTCCGTGCTTGATTTAACAAACTAATTTTGTTTTTCTATAATATCTAATACAC